CTTAACAGAAACGTTAGACAAATATGATTACATGCAGTATTTAAATAGGTAGGATAAGGAATATGAGTTAAGATTTTAAAAGACATAAAAATACATAGGAATGTGCAGTTCAACTCGGTATTTTTCTAGCAAATCATTACCTGATAGACATCACTGATTAATCTAATGCCCTATATTGCCTCATTGTTCAAAAAATGAAATACAACAAAATACACTTTTTTTTTTCATTTCTCCTAATCACGCTACTAACCAACGATGCAGACCAGAGGCACCGAGTGAGCCCCTCATCAAATTAGGCGAGAATGAGTTTCCTGCTGGCAGATTCTGACCCAGCAGGTTGGCAGCGAGTAGGCACCTGCATTCTGCAAAAGCTCACCTGGTTTTACTAATGCCAACCCCTGTGGTTAACATTCACTGTACAGAATCTTTCTTTTGACAAGTTTCCTGCCTTAAAAACTTTTGCTCTGGGGTGGCAGGGTGGCTCAGTTGGTTAGAGTGCGTGCTCTGAGCAACAGGGTTGGTGGCTCGATTCCCACATGGGCCAGTGAGTTCCACCCGAGCTGAGCTGCTGCTGAGCTGCCAACAGGTGGCAGAATGCTCATAACAACAAGGTTGCCAGTTAGACTCCCACATGGGATGGTGGACTACGCGCCCCTGCAACTAGATTGAAAGCGGCGACTGGACTCGGAACTGAGCTGCGCCCTCCANCCACCCATCCATCCTCTCCCACTAGGGGTGTTTTGTCTCTTGTTGCATCTCCAAGACATAAAACATGAAGCTGGGGTTTAATAAACAGTTGCTGAGTAAGTGCATTTGACTTTATTGGAAAGGTATGTTCCTTGGAGACAAGACCTGGCCTAAGGCAGAAACTCAGTAAACGTCTGAAAGAATGAATAAACGGATGGGTGATGGTAGACCCAACTGATATCTAATTATCTATAGATACACGGGCGAACGGCAAATCAAGTGCATTGCTGTTTAGCAAGCAAACATACCAGTTAAAGTAACTTACTCAGGGGTGCACAGCAAAGGAAAGTCATGCAATTACATATTAAAAACTCCAACCCAGCCCCTGTCTTCACTTTGCTGTAGCCCTGCGTGTCCTTATATCTGACAGGTCAGAACCCACCTGGATTCCCTTGCTTGGCTCCGATAATCTCAACCAACAATGTTTCAAGCTAATAAAACTCTGAATTTATGTTTAAATGAAACTACACAGAAATCTCAGACATATTTACCTTGCTTCATACATGTAAAAAAAAAAAAAAGGATACTCAGGGGCAAGAGCATTATCCACATTTTAAAACGCACTCAAAAGCAAATGTGCAGCCAGTCAACACTGGTGGGACAGACATAAGAAGCTTCAAGTACATCATCGGCTGGCCGGCTCACATGGGCACCTTAGATATCCAGTACACAGACATAGACACTGCTACTGCAGCTGGGTGTTTCCTGGGGGTTAAGAACCATGGGACGATGCAAATGGCTTGGCACGCAACAGCAGAATAGGAATTGGTTTCCCAGAGGCCATCTCACCTCTATTTTGCGAAGTATTATTCTGGCCCCGCTGCTCACACACCAGCCCAGACAGCCATGCAACTGGCCATATCAGGTCATTGCCCTCCTACCACCATACTTTTTTTTTTTTGTTTGGAGGCGGGGGTAGATGTTGTATTTTGTTCGTACTTGGAAACCACTGTCTAGGAATCCTCTTACTGGCATACAGATGGGAAGGCATGCACCACAGAGTCTGGAACGTGGACCTGGGCGACAGCCTGTCAGGGTTCCAATCTCTCCTCTGGGACTCACTAACCGTGTCACTGTGGGTGTTTCCCCAACCCTGTCTAGCCTCAGCTTCCTCACCTCTAAAAAGTCAGCTCACTATGCTCATGGCAATTACAGGGGAGACAGGGGAGAGTACAGGAAGTACTCAGCATAGTGCTGTGTCACACAGGCCTTAATACACACCGGCTACTATTATATAGCTATTATCATTACCTATTATATTATACTTAAAAAAAAAAATTCACTGTTCAAAAATAAATAATATGGGCCGGCCGAGTGGCGCGTTGGTTAAGAACTGGCTTGGGACGCCAGAGGGCCCCAGTTCAGATCCTACATAGGAG